AAAAAATGGAGAGAAATGTTTTGATCATCTGCACATCAGTAAGGAGGAGTTTGTCCTTCTGCTATTCTGTACACCACCAGCTCCCCACAGAGATTCGGACCCTCACCTCTCTCCAGGCCTTCCGAAAAGCCGTTAAAACCTGGCTGTGTCGGCAGGCCTGGGGTTGATGAGTTCCCCTCCCCTCTCCATTGTGTGTCTGTTGGTTATTTTAAATATTTGTATTTGTAGTTCTAATGTTTCCCTTTCCCTCTTGGGTTTGTGAGCCGCCCTGAGTCCTGCTGGGAATAGGGCGGCATATGAATAAAACGAAACCTGAAACCTAAACCTGCTTATAAGCGCTATGTGCTTAGAGCTCAAAGTATCATTAGAGACCCCCACACACCCACTTTATGATCTGTTTCTGTTGCTCCACTCTGGGAGGAAGTTTCGAAGTATCTGTAGCAGGACTCCTAGATTCTGTAACAGCTTTGCCTCCTATCCCATCCATTTAGAAACTCACAAGATTCGTTTTTCTTACCATAAACACGTATACATCCGAACTAGACTGTTGTTTCTCTGTGTCATATATCATATGTTGGTATATACATTTATTTATGTATTTATTTATCTTGTCAAAGTTTATGTAGTGTAAAACTGGAGGTGGTGACCCCTTTAATTCTCTTGACGTTATCTGGCTTTTAACAATCCTTCCAACTTTTCACATTGCTTTGAATGCAAACCCCCTCAATCGTGCATTAATTCCAGAAAAGGCAGACTCACCAAAGTAAAAACCAAGTAATACAATGCAGTTGTGGGTAGCAGAAACAGCAAGATGGTAAACAGCAAAGTACCAATGAACAGCTGGAGAAGAAAAGACAAGTAAAATTATCAGAGATTATCAGTAAACAATAATTTTAGGAAAGGAGGTAATAGAAAGCTGCCCCATCTTGAGTACATAAAAAACCCTAATATTTCTTAATTGATCTGAATTTTGACATGGGTATGTTTTAATATGACCTAGATTTACGGTAATAACATGTTAAAGGGCTGAGCTTTCTTGATAGTAATATTATTCATTACTGGACTAGCAGATCTTCCTCCCCCCCCCCTCTTTGTCTATCTCTGCTCTCTGTTGTCATTATTCCTTTTGATTGCATGCATGTCTTCAAATTTCTTGGTTGCAAGCATGTATTCAAATCTGTTGGCTGCCCAACTCCAGGTTTATCACTGTCTTTTTGATATGATTTGCTCTTAATTATTAATTTTGTTTGGCAAGGGGGAGAAATGATTTTTCTATCAGACCATCCCAGAGTTCTCACATGAGGTATAAATGACCAGCCTCAAAACCTCCTATTTTGGATATATTATGCAAAGCCCAGCTTTTTGGAGAAGGCTCAAATGCTACCGTGTTTCCCCGAAAATAAGACAGGGTCTTATTTCCTTTTGACCCCTGAAATAAGCGCTTGGCCTTATTTTCAGGGAGGTCTTATTCTTTTTGAGCTGCAGGAGGCGGCGAGCGTGGTCACCTCTTGGCTGCTGCTGTGTTGCAATCTTTTCAGGGAGGGTGTCAGGTCTGCAATTATATTCCTTTTAGAATTTTGGCCTGCCACATTTTCTCTTATTTCATTATGC